CCCCAAAACCCCAAAACCCCAAAACCCCAAAACCCCAATTTTCTAGAGAATAGTTGCCTTTACAATATAAAATATTATTATACAATATGCTGAGGATAAATTTAGCAAGAAATTTACCTTTCTTGATTCTGCTACTATGCCTTCTAACAAGAGGCTTCACGACTAGTACCAGAGGAGGGATAATCCGGCAGAAGGTCTCCCGTTTACAGCAGTCAGGGCTCCTCAACCTTGATGAGCACCCTGAGCCTGGCCTCCATACGGAGGTCTCTGATACACCAGAATCTGCAAGCGTTAATAATGACTCTGAAAATGATGAAGGCACAGGTGACGAAAACATAAGAGCCTTCAGCCCGACCATCACTCTTGCCTGAGTAGAGAGCTATATAGAAGGGCCAAGCGATAGCTCTGAGGAATTTTGTCCAGACTTGACCTACATAGCTCGATCTTCTTCAGGAAATATTGACAACGAAGTTGCTCTCATCCAATCTAACTTTAACATTAATCAAGAAGAGGAGGAGCGGTTTTACAGAAACCTCCAGCAACAACTTAACAGGCCTTTACTCGGCGTCTCTGATTCATTGGTAGGGATATCTTTTGTAACGAATAATGCTGAAGAGTCTATCTCATTAGAGAACTTATTCAATCACTTGTATCATCTTCCTGGAGACTACCACAAAGTTCACGAAGTTCTAAGCCTTGGGGATGAAGCTACCATTATCAGTATCGGCTGAGAGTACTATGTTGGTGATAGTGGCATAGACGTTGGACCATATTGCTTAGCTTCCCATGAAATCGCAACAGAATATTCAATAGAAGGAGGAACTATCCATCTCGATACATTGGTAGTTGATACAAGAAATTATAGATCAAGTTCTGAGATAGTCTCTTATCGAGGGTCTCTCAGGTTGGACAACTACTTTGGAGTCCCTCCTTCCCAGCTAGAGGGCCTTAATAGGGATATTCCTGTAGAGATCAGGACAAATAGCAATAATATTAGAGATCATTTTGATCAGGATAGTCCTAGGTTTGAAATAATAGTTAGCCCAGAAGACCACCAAATTGATATCGAGATATTCATGAAGAATATCATGACACTTGATGAGCTCAGAGTACCTCCACCACGAGGGCTATCTAGCTTGAAGTTCCTTTCTTTTGACAATGCCACTATTACTTCTGAGGGTGGAGAGGCTCGAAGAGTTGTGATTGGCGCAAGCCCTCCAGATTTCGACTTTGTCTCACAGGATATTTCAATCCAAGATGTTAGTCTCCAGCTTGATTACAGAGCAAGGGATGAATTTGAGATTACTTTCAATGGAAAATCATATATCGATTCGGTAGTTTTTGACACGACTATTACAAGGAATGCTCAGGACGATGATTATGAAATATTTATGGTTGATTCTGAACCGAAACAACTATCATACTCCCAGCTAAATGATTATCTTCTCCCATCAATCAGTACTAGAGAGTTAAGCCTGCACCCGAATGTGGTGTCTTTTCCTTACTTGAGGAATTTACAAATTACTCAGGGAGGACTGCATTTGGCTGATCCAACTGTGACGATGCAATTTCGGCCATACATGATTTACCAGATTGAGGGGTATCACGATGTTAACCAAGACAGTGTTATCGACTGCTTTGTCAAGACAACTTATGCCTCTTTGAATGGAGACGTCCTCTCTCATTACCGATATGTTTTTGATTACGATGAGAGCCAGACACTCGTCCTCAGAACATTTAATATTGTTTCTGGAGATGCAGCTACCAGAGGGATAGTAATTAACCAATTCTCCCTGGATACTTACAATAGAGATTTTGATTTTAGCCAATACCAGGAATACCTTGATGATTCTGGAAACGGGAATCATTGGAGGAGGGGCACCAGAGCTACGATAGGAATCACGTATCCAAGCTCATGTAACAGGAATGCTTTCTGCAACTTCTTGAGGACCAAGGCTAACATTACTGAAGAGATTAAGCTTCAAGGGTACATCGAAGACCCAGTCTCTACCTTTAGCTATGATTTTAGCGATACTTTTATAACTCCATTTTTGACCCTGACTAGTCCAAAGGTTGACCTAATGGTCGTGACCAGAGAGGAAGAAGGAAACCTCCTTAAAATGAGAATCAGGGGCGAGCTCCAGATAAGTATCGAGCCAGGTCGGTTTATGTACTCTCGAGCTCGCTTCCTCTACTTTGATGACGACATGGAGACTTTCCAGCTCCGTTCAGAGTCTAACTCAGTGTATGAAGATGTGTTCGGTCTTAATCATCTCATGGATCTGATCGACACTGATTTCAGGGGAACTGGCAACTTTGAGGGGAATCTTTTGAGATACAATATCACTACAGCAAGCGTACTTGGCAGAAACTGATATTCAAATAGAGAGATCCTTGATGCCCTCACACGTCAGAATGATAACACTGGAGGAGAGTTCCCGTACAGAGTCGGCGAGCTTCTGGACAACATGGGTGATTTCATTGATACAGAGAACTGTATTATTGGAAGGACAACTCTTCGGCTAAGAGACGAAGCAAGGGAAAATAGCTTTTACTCTTATTATAACATTCAGTCTGTGAAAAAGCTCATGAATATCATCTTGAACTCTTTTGATGAAGCATTCTTGCCAGAAATTGTCCAACAAATTAGTATGCCAAATGGGCTTTCTGTGAATGGTACTTATGAAGACCTTGACCCAACCAGAAATAGTATTGACCGAGAGCTTAACTTTATTGGATCCATGAATTGGTGTGGATTGCAAAAGAGAGGAAGTGTCGATGTACATATAGACAAAAATTATGCAAACCTGACTTTGAACTTGACTTCTTTCAGTATTGGTAGGGGAAACCTCAGGTTCATGACACTTCAAGACTTCTCCGCTTTTCTAAACGCTTCTGAAGGGGCAGACATTCCGCATGAGATTAATAGGCTTCGCGGAGGAAGCCATAACACCACTAGAGAGCAGAACACAATCACTGTAGGAATGGAGAGTAGTAATTTACAGGAAAGTGTTGCTTATTTAAACGCTAATATTATGATCTTTGACCAATTCAGAAGGATCTCAGTGCCTGTTTCAGCAAATAATGTTGAAATCTCTATCAGAGGCAAGCCATTCCACGGAGATTTTCAGGCCGACACAATTGTGACCTTCACTCCAGAGGATGATATTGAAGAAGAGACCAGCTCTATGGTCTCCATCTTGCTGAATGACGAGAAGAAACTGAGGGATGTAGCTCATCACACTAGGGACTTAGTCCTCCAGTGGGCAGACCAAGTTGCTAATTCTTATAAGGACATGCAAAATAAAATGAATGAGATAGACTTAAGTCTTCAGAACCTAAACAATCAAGTTTATGAAGAAGAAACTTGTCCTGAGGTCACTCGCTGAACGTCAGAGCGTTTCCTGACCTGCACTAAGTATGAGACAGAACCTACTTGCACTTATACAAGACTTGTGTGTGAGCAGACGGAGTATAGCTGCACTGAGCAGGAAGTGCAATGCCAGTTCACAGGAATTGACGGCACCTGTATTCGAGGAACAACAGTCTGTACAAAGTGGGATTACACTTGCGTCGGAGACTTCCAAGAGGTTTGTATCGAATATGAAGATGTCACTGTAAATAACCAATGAAAGGAGTTTGGCTTTGTTTGCGAGGTTGAGACCTTGCTCCAACCTGAATGAGTTGCTAGGAGCCAACTACTCCATGAGAGGATTGGAGAACATCAGGACGAGCTTGATGCTATAACTATTTTCCAAGATCTTACAACAGAATTGCATGAATCAGTGGCTGATATGTTAGAGAGTGATGACCATGATGGCATCTTTGAGATTGTATATGCTAATTCCACTCAAAATCTGGGAGAAATCAAATCAGGAACAGAAATACTCTTCACTTTTGGTATAAGAACCTTTGCTGGATGGTCTCGGAGATATTTCTCTATGATCCACTCCAACGAGCTGGTCAATGAGCTTGAGCATAGTATTATTGAGGAGCAGGAAGATTTAGATTTGAGAATCATTAGGCTGAGCACACAAATTGATTTTGACTCTGTAGAAAATACAGCCAGACTTCTTTTTAGCCAAATAATTAGTGCTGTATGTGATGTGTACTATATTCGTGCTGATGAATCAAGGCGGATCCAAACATCTCTAAAGCACTTTGGATATTTAGATGGGAATACCACGATCTGACCCAGGTTTGATTTGCCTTCAGACCCTATTCATTCACCATCTCCTGATTCGAACTCTAATACTCCATTGATACCAGAGGAAGATCCGGAACCAATGTCTCTTGATCAGATTTACTCCATTGAAGGTGAAGAAGACTCTATATTCACTTATTCATACAACTACCACAATGAGTAAAGAAAGTTAATAACTTATTTATAAAGTTCAATTCAAGTAAAAAGTGGAGAATCTGTATTTTTAGCACCCTCTTGGATCTAAATTTTCAGCCTAGAGGATTTTTATGTCGATATTAGGCTTGAAAAGACCTCTAAGAACCTTTCTAGTTCATGAGGTGTCTCTCTTGGTGACCTCGCAACGAGCTTACTTCTTCAAAAGTAGCTAGCCATGTGTTCCAGGTTCTGATAATTTCTCTAAAAATACAAATTATCTGCACAGGTTATGTGTCTACTAATTTCAGTAAAAATAATAACACTCAGACTTTATTCATGAATGAGCGGAGGTTTAGCATCTGTTAATAATACCAAATTAGGGTGGTGAAACCTCACCTGGCCTAGCCATGTGTATCTTCTTGAGTTTATACAAATAGCCACAGCTAGGATCTCTAAAATCCCTATTTCTTAAAAAAATTACTGCATCATGAACTATGGTAACTCCATGTGGCCAAGGTTAGTCCATAAATCTGTGGAGTTTAGTAGCATTTTTGGCTAATCTTTAGTAAAAATTTTGGAAATTTTGAACCGCCAAAGTCTGAAGCTGCTTGAGTACTTTGTTTAAAGCACCCTAAATTTTCAGAATGGATTCGGACCAAAGCAGAGGTATGAAGGGGTGTGGCATAGTCGAAGTGTAGAAAGTTACCAAACAGAATAGATACCCGCCTCCTCTATAGAGTTTTGAATATTTCTAAACAGATTTAACATTATTTTTGTATTGTATTCTTATAACCAATAATATGAAAAATTTCTTACTTTCATGAAGCCACGACTAGAGCTACATAGCTATGTATCCCAAAGGATCGGATGCTGACCTCCTAGCCTAGATCTTAGACCAGGGTTTGGCGGCACTAAACTTGCCATAGCCTTACTAGATTTTCGTTCTGATTTATGGGTAAGTTTCAATGTAAATTTACTTCTGAGGGGTTTTGGGGTTTTGGGGTTTTGGGGTTTTGGGG